GGTGGTGTGGATCCAAACAGTTTCAAGGTGAAACAAGAAGAAAAAGGGAAAGGAAAGGGGGTGTCCATAAGCAACAACTTAAGAGGCTCTCTAGAACTTTAAATCCTAAAATACATTTCATACAGTTCTTCTCAGAGAGAACTTCCTCTTTTTTGTTCAGATACATGATTTCACTTTGTGTGAATTCAAAATCATATTACGTTTTTGAAACACTGTTGGTTGCCATAGTAACTTGAGTGTGTGTGTGTGTGTGTGTGCGCGCGCGCACGCGTGCACTAAATCACTCGGTGACTGCCAGCAGGCTATAGAGGCTCTCTCAGACTTCCACAGGCTTTGCTGACAGGGTGTATCCCAATGGTATGTTTTATGTTTTCCCAGAAGCAGTCCTCTGTAAAACTGCTAAGGATGGGCTGATCTCTTTTGCTAGAAGTGGGGGAGAGAGATGGGAAAGATGGAAACAACCCAATGATGGTGACTTAATTAAGGCTTTTATAGCTTAATGTGGTAAGACACCATGACCAAAAAGCAAGTTGGGGAGGAAAGGGCTTATTTGGCTTATACTTCAGCTTTGCTGCTTACCACTGAAGGAATTCAGGACAGTATGTCAAACAGGGCAGGATCCTGGAGGCAGGAGCTGATGCAGAGTCCATGGAGAGGAGATGTTTACTGGCTTGCTCCCCACGGTTTGCTCAGCCAACCTTCTTATAGAACCCAGGACCAATACCCAAGGATGGCACCACTTACCACAGATGCCTCCCCACAATTGATCACTAAATGAGAAATTGCCTTAAATGGAGGCATTTCCTCAGCTGAGGCTTCTTCCTCTGATGACTGTGTGAAACTGACACACAGAACCAGCCAGTGCAGTCAGTGACAACCAACCAACGTTTCATTTATCCAGAGGTTTCTGCCTAGCACTTGGGAGAATGGGGAAGCAGATTGCCCAGAGCAGCCTTTGTGCCAGAGTTGGCTCTCCAGAAGCAGCTGACAAGGGCAGCCCTTAGGAAGAAAGGCTCAGAGCAGAATTCAGCGCACATCCTTGATGTGTAAGCCTAGAGAGCCAACTTTCCAGCCTGGTTCAAAGCTGCCTCACACTGTGACTGTGGAGAACTTCCCTGGTTTCTCGTCTTATTTTCCTCTACAGGGTGAAGGTGACTTACAACACTGCTTCTAACTCTAGTTGCTTATGATAGGAGGATGCTGAGTGAGAGTTTCAGGTGGTGTGACTTAGAGACTCAGGGGAGTGTTTGAACGCCCTGGGCTTGGTCTCTGGTACATGTGAAGCTCGGGGTCTGAAGCACCCCATCTACATTTTCCCCAAGTGCTGCAGATGACAACCACACAGTGAATGTAAGCATATCTGTGACAGATGAACCCCAGAGACGGCAGGTTTCCAGGAAGGGCTAGTGTAAGGCTTGGTGCAGTGTACACCAGAATGAGTTGACTTCTAAGAAAATGATTGAAAGATAATCTGTTGCCTCTGCTTCGGGACTGGTTACCTGACCAGTGACACAGTTTCTGTGTGTGTGCCCAGGAGTGGGAGCAAGAATCATGTTAGAATTACGGCAGTGATCACGGATTTCAGTTTGTGCTTGCCCAAAATCTTCAAGTGGGGGCTCTCCAGCATTCCTTTTATTACTACTGCCACTAAAAGTATAAACTGTCCTAATAACAGCATCCTCAAAATGAAATATGGATCACAACGGGGTATTGTTGTTGCCACTGTAATGATGGTTTAAATTTTTGTGTTTGTGTAGTTTCATGACAGAATGTGACAACTAGCTACTAATGTCTACCATAGTCTATACCCAAGAAAGCACAAAAGAAAAAGGGAACTTTTCCCCCTTTCATCAGTACACTGTCATACCTCTGGGCTGGATACAGGGAAGCTGATTTGAGCTCTGGGGGGAAAAGTATAATACAACAAAGCATGGTTTCTAAAGAGTCATGGCCACTAAGTACAAAAGAGAAGCATGGCCATGGCAAAAACTCTCCAACAATCATTTTCTCTTGTTTTTGTGTTTATTCTTCCAACATGATACCTTGGATTTGTAAGTTAACAGCATAATGATTTCAACATTTTGCAAGTCCAATCTCAGTAAAGCTTAAATTAAGTATGTCTCTAACATGAATATGGAAGAAGGCTCTGCTTAAGTATGAAAATTTAGTTGACTTTTGCAGTCACCCACGGTTGGAGAAAGATAATAAAACTGAGAGTGTTCTCCCCATAAAACGATTGGAAGTTTGGCACAATGTAGAATATAGTGGGCAGGGTAACCAGCTGGAACTCACACTCCAGAATCTTAAGAGTTAAAGACAAAATGAATTCACCTACACAGGGTTTTGCTTATCACAGGGGAAGAGATTTGACTGGGGCTACCTAAGAAAACACAGACAGCTTTTTAGTAGAAGACAGTTAGCTGTCCTCCCCACAGTCCCCAGCTACCCAGCACCACTTGTTTGAGCATCTCTAGTAAGCCAAGAGCTGTGATGATGATGCCTATCACAGAGAGTTTCCAAATCAAACAAAGGCATAAAATTCAGGCACACTTGAAATGATTAGAGATGAAATCAAAGATACCTGTAAAACAGAAAGGGGAATTTGTGTGGGCTTAAAGTGTCAGTTATCTGATGATGGGAGCAAAATCTGAGGTTGATCTTCACCAGATGTGGGAAGGGGGGGGGGATTAAGATATTCCAAGAGAACTAGGAAGATGACTCAGTGCATACAGCCTTGCCGTGTAAGTACAGGGGCCTGAGTTTGGACCGCTGAAAACAACGGGAAGCCAAATGTGGTAGCTCACGTCTGGATTCTCGATGCTCCTATGAGAGGAGTCAGTGAGCTTGGCCCACAGTGTCACCAGCAAAGATCCTGTCTCAAATAAGATAGAAAGCAAGAGACAATACCTGAGGCTGTCCTCTGACCTCAACACAGACATTGTTACACTCTACACGCACCCTTCTGGCACTCACATACCGTGTACACACATACACACAGATTTAAAAATATCTTTAGAGATGAAAATAAGAAACTAGAAATAGCTGAAATGAGGTTGTTATAATGGAAGAAATAAGCAGAGGGGTGTGCTCCAGAAAGAAGATGAAACCAGCTTTCCATCCCTGGAGTTCTGCCCTGCTCCCCTACCATCCACGTTGATGTCTGAGTGTCTGGCCTTCCTGTGTATGACAGACTTTCACTTAGAGGCGGAACTATGTAGGCTTCTTTAGTGCCTGTTCCCAGAGCTCTGTAGCTAGAAATGCAATGACAGTGTTGGTCCTCTGGTTTGGGGACAAGGTCCCTCTCTGATTACTGTAGGTGAAGGGTTTATCCTCATACATAAAATAGGTTTGAGAAAAGCTTCCATTTGTCCATGGGTATTTGGTCTTTGAGACTGTCGTTTTGTTTTGTTTTTTGTTTCTTTTCCAGACAGTGTTTCTCTGTGTAACAACCCTGGCTGTCCTGGAACTCACTCTGTAGATCACACTGGCCTTGAACTCACAGAGATCCACCTGTCTCTGTCTTCCAAGTGCTGGAATTAAAGTTAATAATACTGCCCAGCCGTATTATTAACTGTTGAGAAGAGAAATTTGTCTAGAGATATTTGGAACAGAAAGACATTTGCATATTTTGTGATGGATGCCAACTGAACAGAAGGAGAGCAGGGAGCAGGTCCTCCTGTGTTAGAGCAGTACCTAAGCAATAACCACAACCCTGCATGGAAGCACCTGTCAGTTTTACTTGGCAAACTCTTTTTGAAATGCTGGCAGTGGCACTGTCTCATTTGTCAGGACTTTGTGTGAAAGGACAACAGTGAGCAAAGGAGGGAGAGGGAGAGGAGATGCGAGGGCCAGGGATACTAGCTAAGTGCTGGTAAGAACAGGAAACACCACTGAGCTTCTGGGAAATTTCCAAACTTGCGATCCGAAGATCCTGAGTCAGACAGACGAAGGTTGTGCACCTGAGTCAGGGTTTTCGGTGAGGGATGCAATGTTCCGGTGACAGGTGGTCCAAGACCACACAGAGATCAATGCACATGACAATAACAGGATGTAGAGGTCAAGAATGACAAACTTGAATTGAAACCAACCAGGCTAGTGATACACTTTGGTTAACCAAGAACCAGAGAGTCTTCTGTGGGTCCAAGTCTCAAGTGCCAATTACAACATGCCGGGCCATGATGGAACACGCTTTTATTCCCAGCACTTAGGAGGCATAGGCAGGTGGATCTCTGTGAATTCAAGGCCAGCTTGGTCTACAGAGCGAATTCCAGTTCAGGCTCCAAAGCTACAGAGAAATCCTGTCTAAACAAATGAATAAATAAATAAATAAAACAACACAGAACAGAAGATTTATTTCCTTTACATTTGCAAAATAATCCATTTGTACGACACAGGAGGATGGGCCATTTACAATTAAGACTAATCAAAAAGGCTGGAAGAGGAATGTCTAAGAGCACTGGAAGTTGTCATGGCAACATGAATCTGAGTTGAGAAAACTGTGGGTAAGGAAGAGGAAATGAATCTGGGTAAAGATGGCTATGTCTATATTATATCCAAGGAAGAGAATTAGAAAGAAAACGATAGATTCTTTCTAAGAATGGGTTTCAGGTAATGGGCAAGTATGTGGCTAACTCATGAAACATTATTTACCCCTTTTCACTTTCCTGGTTTGTTTCAGGGATTTTCAGCATCAGAGACTCAGCTGTTGAATGAATCCATCAAACCAAGCCCTGCAGCTGGAGAACTGGCTCAGCATACTGCAGCAGCCCAGACTTTGGCTCTTAGGACCCATATCAGGTAGTTGACAGCCTCTTGAAACTCCAGCTCTGGAGGGATCCCACACCCCTGGCCTCCAGAGGGCCCCGCACACATATGTGCACACCTCCACACAAACACATAATTAAAACATTTTTCAAATCCAGACTCAAATATAACACTTAAACACAAGGATGATAAAGGCATAAAACAATCACCAAAAGTTTTATTTAATTAAAAATATTATACATGTTGTTGCATTTTCATGGAAAATATTGAGTTAAAAAACACCAACAGTGTTAATTTTCATAAACTGTCATGGACCCAATTCTACCTCCTGCTGATTTCTTCTTTCTGTGATATTAACTTTGTGTCTGTGAGGAGTAGGGGCCACAATACCGGAGCTTCCTAGACGATCAGACCTACAGGACTCCTGAGTAAGGCAGGTCCTTGAAAACAGTGTTCTGTCAGGTTCACACAGACACCACCAGCTTTGGTTTCCCTTGCAAATCATTGAAGAAAACAAAAACAGAAACAAAACTAAATCAAAAAAAAAGAGAAAAAAAACAAAACAATGAGTGTAAAAACCCAGTGCTGAAGTCAACACCAGTTTAGTACATCTGAGCACTGATCTTTAGCCTTGTCCAATTTCCAAGCCAGTTAACAAAGGACCTTGTGTCCTACCTAATGTATTAGTGTCCTGAACTTCCCGACATAACTTCCCCAGAACCCACTGTGGGAAGACACTAATATATAGTGTTTATATTCAAACCACCAGCAAATACATAACAGCACATGAAACATCCATGTTCAATAGCAGTTAAAATACATGTTGGAACAAAGTAACCATTAGAATCACTGACTATCACATAGCTCTGTGGATAAACTTTTAAATCTTCACGTAACTATACATTCATCAAAAAATAACAACATGAAAAATTTAAAAATTGTTTAAGTCATAAACACCTCACAGGTAAATACAAAGTATGGACAATATAACCCCATCCTCTGCCCCCTTCCTTTCTTTGGACTGTGCCTTTCCTTAACATTTCCTTGACCCCACATCATAATGCTACATCCTTAAGTTGCTTCCAAGTGATACTTCCAGAAATATCCAATTCTCTGTTCTTGGCCCTTAGCTTTAAATTGTAGTATGCTTAATTTGAACTTTGCATCCAGCTTCATATTAAAGAGAGGCATACTCTCCTTAAAATACACAAGTGAGTAAAAATAGCTGGACAGCAAAAGAAAGTTGAAACTGCCTCAGGTTTTAGAGGCTGAAGTACGGCCTTTCTTCTTCATAAATGGTCTGCTAGTGGATGGGAATAAAATAAGGCTGAAATTGCTTTTCACATTCTGGCTCTGTTGGGGGCATTTTCACATAGACCCCTGTTGTAAGTGGACTTCTTTTCCTTAGCTGCCAAAAAAAAAAAGAAAGAAAGAGCAATTATTAGCAAAGCATACAGAAACCACTTTCAACCATAATAGGGCTCAGTAAATATTGGGTCCCTCGCCAGCAAAAATAAACATCCACAACAACATGCAGAATTATAAACTCTTGGAGATTTTCTCGATACAGCTATTCAATTCACCTTAGAGAAATAATTCTGCAATTCAAATCCAAAACAGAATCTGCAATTCAAATCCAGAATAGAAAGTAGGGGGGAAAAAAGGCTTTGAGACAACTTCACCAAGAACACTCAAAATGCCCAAGATAACTGACTAGATCTTGTCTGTCATAATCAATGTACTGCAAATGTTTAAAGGTAGCTTTGATATCCTGTTTTGAAACTTTATTTCTCATCTCCACTACTTTTATGCTTTTTCTTTGTCTGTATTAGTTTCCAGTTTCCATCATCTCAACTTCAACAACTGAATTCTAGTTAGCTAGCCTGGGTGGTAATTTTATAGCAAATGAAAAAAGGAAGACAGCAACAGAACAGAGGCTCAATGAAAAGGTGTGTGTGTGTGTGTGTGTGTGTGTCTGTGTGTGTGTGTGTGTGTGTGTGTTAAAAAGAGACCTGGAAGGAGAGCCAGAAAGAGACAAAGGTAGAGGAATAAGGAAAAATGGAGGGGTAGCAAGAAGAGGAAGTGAGGAGTGAGAACAAAGAGTTGTTTGTGATAAGGAAACCAGCCCCACACGGCAGTGGTTGAGAAGGACTGCTAGAAACCTGGACTGGAGACTTGATTCCACACATCTCTATTTTCATTACTAATATAGTAAATAAAATCAGGATTTTCATTCACTAAACTAGGGAGTGATCAAGGCACCTTTGTAAGGAGATATTAGGATAGGTATTATACGAGCAGCTATGGTTTGAACAAAGACGGCACAAGAGTGGTACCAAGAGATGGTTTTCAGGGAAGAAATACTCAGGAGAAGGATAAAAGGCTATTCAGGTGGTTTTAACTAGCAGCAGCTGCCCAGAATAATTCTATGTTTTAGGGTAGGACCATAGCCAAGATGGTGAGGACCAAAACAGTTGCCCCTTGTTGTTCAAACAGTTACTCAAACTGAAACCCTGCTCAGAAGCACACAACATTCACTGTCAAACATGTTCATGTACAGTATTAGTCATCTTGAAACCTCAAAGGCCAGTGCATGGGGTTCTAGTGTGTTCTTCCTGCTCTTTGTTTATTACTTCAACCCCACACCTCCATCACTTGGTCAGTAGGGTACAGCAAAAGGTGTCCCCATTAACTCCAGAGCAACATCAGTACTACACTCACCATTTTGCTCAAAGAAACAGCAGTGATCAGGAAACTGTAGAAAAACAATCCTGAACTAATCGCAGCAAGGATCCAAAGGAGGATGTCGGAATCTGGACATGGTTCTGGATCTGCAAACAGAAAGCAAAGAACAAACCTCTTGAAACAGTTTTCACTTCTAGGGCCCTACTTCCTCATGAGTGAAGAAAAGAAGAAGGAAGAAGAGAAGGATGGAGAAGAAAGAAAAAAGAAAGGAGGAAGGGAGGGAGGAAGGGAGGGAGGGAGGGAGGGACAGAAGGAGGGACAGAGGGAGGGAGGGAAACAGCTAGAGCATCCAAGTTTTGCTAGCCAACCCTAACTTGTACAGTAACCCACAGGTAAGTCTGACTGATGTGTGACTTCCCCACAGTGCCATTATAAAGATAAGGACATTTCATAGTTATAAAAGAACAAGGGACCAAGCCTATCAGCAGCATAAAACATCTCCCCAAACACATTTTAACACAGTCAGTGTGTTTATGTAATTGCTCATTGTAAGCAAAACATCTAACTAGGGAATTCCAGCTACGAATCATAGCCCACACTATGAAGAACCTCAAGCCAAGAAGCAGAACTATTCTGGTGTAAACACAGCAGCAATGCAACATTCATGTTCGCAGTGAAGTGACTTTGCTTACCAATGACGTAAATCTGGGTCCCGTTGCCCATGCCCACACAGTATGGTGGTGGGTACATGAGTTCCACCTTGCAGAAGTACAGTCCAGTGTCAGCAGCTCTCAGTCCTTGGATGGTGAGGTTCACTTTGCTTTCGTTGAAGGTACCACTACAGAAGGGGTCGTCTAGGAAGCCCAACGTATTATTCACTGTGAATGTCGTGGCACAGACCTCGGTCATCTGGCCATTTGTGTGCCGCAGCACTGTCACCCGGACCTCATTAGTCTTGTGTGATGATGTATATTCACATGGAAAGCTGGCGACACCATGGCTGCTGGCCAATACCACTGAAGGTTGGCTCACTTGTATGGCTGGCATGGAAAAGTCAAAGGATTCATGGTCATCCATGGTTGGGAATACTAAGCCACACTTTATAACAGGGAAGGTTTATCTTGGATGACCTATAAGATCGCCTCTCAACAAACTCATCACCCCCCTTACCTTTTGCCTCTCCATTCATCCACCCAACAACCCACCTCCCATCTTTTAGATGTCTTCAGTCACTTTCCGAGACTTCCTTACGATAAATAGTTTCTTGAAGACAGTTGGCTATGGCAAGGAGAGCCCTGATGCAGCAAATAGAAGACCTGGCTCTCATGAAATGTGTCATTTTGGCAAATCGTTCTTCCTCTCATTTTCTCTCACATGCAGTAAGAAAGGGAGTTAGAGTGCCTGACAGTGCAGGGTCTTCCAGACCAGCATCCTGCAGTGATAATAGAACTATTCCATGCAGGGAGGAACCTCAAAATGGTCTGCCCACTTATATAAGTATACCTTTGTCAACAAGAACAGTTGGACCTCAGCTCAGTACACTGGTTTCCCTGTCCCTGGTCTTACAGTGGTAGCATGGCCTATGATATTAGACGAGGAAGCCACAGAGCCTAGAGCACCAGGTCATTTCCTCTCAGGGCTGAGGCAACCCTGCTGTTAACTTCTGTGGGCTTCCCCTGCCTCCCCGCCACTTCTTCCGCCTTCCTTCCCTCCTTCACTTAACACTTTCCTGGTCCTTTGGGTTTTTGTTTTTTTCCCTTTCCTCTCTGTATATTACAAAAGAAGGAAGTCCTCAGACGACACCATCTCTCTACACAAACATGCATTCGTCATTCGTCATTTGAAATTAGTGGGTTTGCAGCTTGGTATTGGTAATACATATCTGTAATCCCAGCATACAGGAGATGAAGGCCAACCTCAGCTAAACAATAAGACATTGTTTTAAAAATCAAATTACAACAAGCAGAAGGGTGGAGATATAGCTTGGTGTCAGAGTACACAAGGTTTTGGGTTCTACCCTTGGCACTCAATTTAAAAGTGGTTTTGTATCATATTATTTTTTCATAACTAACCTGGCTGCTATTTGGTCAATATCACAAATTACACCCAGAACCTAAACTGAACAGTGTCATTGGCAGTTCACCAGCATCAACTGCAAAAACAAGACAATAATTAGCATCCAGTGTCTTCCGTATTACAATCTTGAATACTACTCCAAGCTTAGTTTCCAAAACTTAGTTTCCATTCCTGCTCACAGTCTGTAGTAGATATACTAGTTTCTCTTGCAAGCACCTGTACTGCAGAACATTTGTCTTCAGAAAAAAAGAGCAATATTGCAGCCGCTGTTGCCATGGTTATTCCTACAGCCTGGCTGGTGACATCAGGTGTCTGCCTGGCCTGCATCTCTGCTATCACAGTCTCTACACATCTGTCCCATGGAAACCCCACTAGAGAGTTTTAGGAAGCTTTCTCCCACATTAAAGATTTGCAACCCATTCAGACAAGAAACTGTACACGACTATTGCTTCTTTGGTAGAAATTAAATCATCAAATATCTTTTATGCATCAGTTTCACACAGACTACATAATTCCTTCATTTAAAGGGTCTAGAAAGAGGAAGGGTGAGGGTCTGGTACACATATGCATTTCAAGGAACATAACCAGCCTGGTATCAGCCTCTCAAGAGCTTTTATTTCATCTGAAAATCAGGGAGTTGCACTTAAAAATACATGTGTAGGTAATGTAACAATTAGGGATTTTATGAAGAAAAAAATAAAATGAATCTTAGGACAACCAGACTGGTGTTTGCTTCCCTCCCTTCCTCCCTTCCTTGCTTCTCCCTTTCTTCTTTCTCCTTTGCTTCCCTCTTCCCTTTTTTCCTTCCTCTCCTCCTTTTCCCCTTTCTGCCATCTTCCATTCCTTTCTTCTTTCAATTTCAAGCTATTATCATCTTTAAAATAATTAGCTAATTTATTTTCCTCATTTGTTTTTATTATTACTTTTAGTTTTTGAGATTTTAATATAATTACATTATTTCGCCACCCTTGCATGTCACCCCTCCTTATCTTATTTCAAATTCATGGTCTTTCTTTTTCATTACTTGTTGTTACATGCACACTCATAAAGGTATGTATTCTTAAATGCAACCTACTCAGTCTGTGTATATTGTTTTCATTATGTCTTCAGGAGTGCCCATTTGGTATTGGATAGCTAGTTTTGTGTTTTTCCCTGGGGAAGCCTCCTGCTCTCCATATTACTTAGTTACCTGTAGTTATTTGTATGGAATTGAGGTCTCTTTCTCCATACGCTTTGGAATATTTATTGGCTATCACTGTCTTTCCACCCCTTCTTCTGCAATATCCCCTGAGCCTTAGGTGTGGTAACTTTAAAAACTAAGAGTGTCTCAAAAGCTTAAAGTAAACCAAGAAAGAAGTCATATTTATTTAAATCCAGGTGAGTTTTTGTTGTTGTTGTTGTTTTGCTTTGTTTTTGTTTGGTTGGTTTTTTTTTAAAGGAGGAAAATCTTAAGGCCCCTCTGATACCAAGATCAAATATACTCAGGATTTCAGAAGCCCTTAAATTTCTTAGTTTTGCAGTTGTAGGTCCTCCTAATGTTACAAAAGTATCTGAACTTGTTCTCTCCCAAAGCAGCTCTCGTGGATTAATTCTCAGCTTTCATGGATTCTGGAATTCTCAGCTGTCTGGAATCCCCAGTCTGCTATTAGTGGTCTCTGCTTGTTTGCTGCTGTTAACTCCCCTTCACCTGTTTTGGAACACAGAGCTGCTAAGCCGAAAGGTAGAGATTTGCCTTTCACTTATGGCTCTTCTTTAAATCACTGTCCTTAGGTGCTGAAAGAAATGAAACCCATGTAGGAAAATCACCTCCTCCACCTCCATGCTCCAGAAGTCTCCACTCACCTTTGGATAAAGTTGGGATGAAGAGAAAAGCAAACAGGACTACAAAGGGCCAAGTCCTAGAAGCCAGCTGCAGTTGGACCTTGCTCCTCTGGACTCCAAGACGAGCCATGGCTTTATGGGAGCTGCGCTCAGGTCTTCAGGAAGCAGAGTGAAACCTTTCAGGATCCTGAGGCTTTGAAATGTGTTTGAACCCACACAGGTTCAAGGACTTTATATAGACAGCTTTGATCCCAGGTACGTGCTACATGTGTGTACCACACACACATGGCACATGAATAGAGAGCCTTTTTGTTTTGGTTTTACGAGAAAGGAAGCCGTGGGTTAAGCAGTTACGTCGTAAAGACGACCTCAACTACTCAAAGTAAAACTGAACAAAACAAGCAAATCCATGGATGGAAAATGTACTCAACTTGAAACTGAAGCTTCAAGTCAACCGAGGATCTGGATAGGTAGAGCCTTGGAGAGTAGAATTTCCTGTAGTACAAGGTACCCCTAAACCCAATCCCAGTTTTATCCACCTGTCTGGTCATCTTTAATCACCCAGTATTTTTTGACATCCCCGTAACCAGCCCTTAGTCCTAGGACTGATGGTAGAATTTGGCTATGGAAAGCATTTATTAAAAATATGTGTTCTAGCTGTGAAGTTCTGACCTTCTATAAGCCCCAGAGATGTGAAAAGGGTTTATTTTACCTAACTCCATTTTATTGAGAGAGAATGCCAAAACCACATAAATGAATGACATATACACACAAAGCAGGGGAAACTGCCTCTGATTTTGACAATTGGGAAAGAATTTGGATATTCTTAAAGCCTTCACAAAGGCAAAACAGAGTTATAGAGAGCTCGGGAAAAGTCAATCCAAATGAAAAGGCATTCAAAACCTCCACAGGAGAATGAGTCTTTTTTAATAATAAGACTTCTGTTTTCTTTCTTTTGTTTTATTTTTGTTTTGTTGCTGTTTTTCTGTGTACCCCTGTCTTTTAAAGGGTAAAACCTAAAAACAAGGACGGAGATGCAGCTCAGTGATGGAGACGCAGCTCAGTGGTGGAGACACAGCTCAGTGATGGAGACACAGCTCAGTGATAATGGAGACACAGCTCAGTGATAATGGAGACACAGCTCAGTGGTGGAGACGCAGCTCAGTGGTAGTGTACCAGCATAGTATACAGGAGGCCTTAGGCTCATTTCCCAACACCAGAAAAAAAAATTCAACACTAAGAATAAATATGACCAGAGTTCTTAAGCTCATGAAAGCTGTAGAGAGTACAAATATTCATCCATAAATACTATGATAATTTTATAACATTAAATTTTCTAGAATTTTTAATATTAGAATATTTAAGTATTATACATTAGTGCATATTAAACATTTAGGATGATTAGTACACACTATATATATCACATTGTTTAGAATACTAAATTGAATACTCTCCTTATATTTTGGCAGTTTTCATATAGTTCAAGGATGAAAGGGATGTTTATTGAGAATCTATAACATGCTAGGAAATATGTGCACTTAGGTTTGGATTAGGATGACAATATAGCACAGTTGATTGCTTGACAGTTAAAGGCGGAGCACACCTTTTACCTCAGCAGCGGGGAGGTAGAGGTAGGTGTTTCCAGTGTTTCTGTGGCTTCCTGCCATCTCTGCACCCTATCAGAAGAGGTTAGTAGAGTGCTTCCTTTAAAGCCTGTCTGCTAGCATTCTCTCGCACACACCTTTCTCTCAGCATGTCATTTCCCAACATGCTTCTTTCAGGTCTTATCACATTTCCACAAGCTTCCTATGCCTCATTTTATCTTCTCCACATCCTCTAGAATTTAGCTAAGTTGCCAACACTCTAAGAAACCTCCTGAGATGTGTCTCTCTTCTATATTCCCCAGCACAATAGAGAAGCTCCCAATTCATAACCCAAGAAGCCATGACAACCTAATTGCACTTATTTTGGGCCAGGTCCCAGGCTGGACACTAAAGACTTTAAAAGTGAATACACACACACACACACACACACACACACACACACACACACACATGTTCCTGTCCTCTAGGTGAGTTCACAGCAGTGGCAATGGCAGTTGGCTTATTATAATGATGGCAGAATGAGATATATGACAAAGTTGAAGCATTGCACAAGCTACAGAGAAACAGAAGCTATTGATTCAACTGTGGGCACAAGGAAAGTTTTCTTGGATGAGGAAAACGCTGAGTTCATTATTAAGGACAAAAGTAAGAGGTGAGTGTATTCAGACAAAAAGAACAGTATTTGCCTAAGAACCTGATAAGAGCTGATACTTCTGCAAGAGTCAATGAAACACAAAAAGTCATCTGCACAACTAAGATCAAACTTCATAAAACTTTCTTCTGGCCCAGAAAGAAAGGGAAGATGGGTTCGAGAAAGAGTGAGATATAACCAGACAGGAGTTTCCTGCAATAACCCTAAGCAGCAAGAATTCTCAAAGTTTTCATGTAAAAAACATATAGTAAATATATTCTGATTTGCAGACCATGTGGCTTATGGCCACTACTCAGTTCTTCAAGTTTAGGGTGGGGACATCCATAGACCATGCTTAAACAAATGTGTGTGTGACTGCTTTCTAATAAAGCTTTATTTATAAACACAAATGAGATTGGACTTGGCCTATGGGTCATAGCTTTATAACCCCCCATTAACAAAGGTAATGACAGCTTTGGAGACAAGGTTCCTATGGGACTTATCTATAGTCATTGAATCAACGGAGTGACTTCAGGGACACAAGATGTATGGCTTGGAAAAAATGATGGTTCACAGTTTCTTCTCCAGTTGCTGTGATAAAACACCCGAACAAAAGCAACTTAAGGGAAAAGAGGCTTTCTTGGGCGCACAATTCAGGGCTCACAGCCCATTATAGAAGGGTAGTCAAGGCAGCAGGACCTTGAAGTGGCTGCTGATCACAGTTAACCTTTTCAACACAATCCTTCATAGGTATGCCATGCGACTAACGCATCTCTCACAGATGTGCCCAAGTGTTTGCCTTCTAGATGATTCCAGATTCCATCAAGTGGATAGTTAACACTAACCATCACAAGGGCAGTGATCAAAAATTGTCCAAATATTTGTCATTTTATCTCACTCAGGCCACATAATAACCATACAAAAGAAGGAGCAGCCGGGCAGTGGTGGCACACGCCTTTAATCCCAGCACTTGGGAGGCAGAGGCAGGCGGATCTCTGTGAGTTCAAGGCCAGCCTGGTCTACAAGAGCTAGTTCCAGGAGAAACCCTGTCTTGAAAAATCAAAAAAAAAAAAAGGAGCATTACTTTTCCCATTTAATAAAGGAATAAAGAAAGGCTTGATAGTTAACTGACTCATCATATCTCCCATAAAAGGAGACACAGAAGTCTAAGAGAACTAAACTTGAATCCTGCCATGAAGACTTGCCAGTTGTTGCCTTGAGAGTCTACTGTTCCCCGGACAATGGCTTCTACTTACCAAAGCTCTTTCAAGGGTAATGCTGTCATATCAAGGCATCTATAGAAAGATCCAAACTATTTCCAACAGGAATCCTCAGGGAAGAGGTATGATCCAAAGACATTGTCATGACAACTGTGAAAACACTGGTGAAAATCCCATAGAGGAAGGCTTGACATGAACACTCTAGAAATGTTTGATGAGTGTATTAAAAACAGTTTAACACTGGAAAAGATGAAGGTAATTATAGTAACTTTCAAAGAACATCTGCCAGGTTTTACTTCTATAAAACTATCTCTTGTCCCTGCAATCAAGTTCACTGACTGTAAAGAAGTATGGGTGGAAAAAGTGTGGATAAAAAGGGATTCACATATATCAGTCACTAGATGATTGGACCTGAGTTTAGTAGATAGTGCAGTCCACTTGTGATGGAACATTCTGAAATTATGTGTCTCCAGATACAGGGAATTGAGGATGCTAAACCTCTGCAGCAAGATTTCCAAGATGTTCACATTGAGTCTAATGTCGAAGAAATTATCAGTCAAACCTGTGCCTCACAAAACTCTTGGTCTGGCATTGTGCTTTCTTTAAAAGTTAGTATCTTGGGCAAGGATAAACATAAAAAACTTAGAGGACAATTCTAGATTAAAGAGGAAGATGAAAATATGCTGAGGACTGGATGTGAGCCTTGATCATGAGCACCATTAAGAAACAAAATGAAATACAAAAAGGAAGTGTACATGGCAGTAACTCTATTATACTATTGTCTTAGGGTGTCAGCAAGTAGCTCACGGTTGGCAGAGCACAAATGTGTGTGTGTGTGTGTGTGTGTGTGTGTGTGTGTGTGATGTGGTCAGCAACATACCAGCTCAAAAACAGAACATAGAAAGGACAAGTCTCCTGCTCCCGATTACTCCCATCCTCTTTCCTCAGACCTCTGTTACCCCTGGAAAGCAGGACCCTTGTGTCTATTGCCCCCATTCCCTGTTACATTGGCATCTGGAGGATTTAGACCAAAATGAAACGAAGGGATTCCGTCTCTTCTGGTTCTGAGATTCAGGCCCTGAGTACAGTCGTAACAGTGCCTCCCCATGAGTTCAAGTGAGTTCCATTTTAAGACATCATTTCTCCCTGAAACCTAGTTGTATTCTAGCCCCCACCAACTGGGTCCCTTTAGTCTTAAGACTGATAACCCTTTCCACTGTGGACAGTCAGGGTTCATTGTCACTGCATTCCTTAGTATCTCTCAAAGGATTCTTCCGTTGATTGATTTTCATTGAACCACCTGCTTCTTGTTAAAACCTTGATCAGTCTGGCTGTACCTATCAAGCAGAAGACACTGGATTTAAATATTTGCCCCTGATCTCCATCCAGTACATATTTTCTCCTTTTAGGTTATATACAACATTAACATATTACATCATATGCCTTGTATTTATGCTAATCACCCCTGTAGAATTCTGCCTCCCCTACATCATATTCTATTTTCGGGATGCTTGCAGACAAACCTCGCACATAGTAGCCCACCAGAGCCCTTTTGTATGTAGAACACGGTAGAGAATTTCTGTAGTTCAACTTGGGCTGCCAGCCTCATTACTTCTCTTAATCTCATTCAGCACTGAGAAAGTAATAATAATTAACGGGACAATTGGAAGCTTGATGGGTGTTGCAAGGAAGTGGGGCCTTTGTTTGTCCCGGCCGCCCAGCTAGCT